TTACATTAATTTCACACACTCCCCATCCTCTTTTATAAGTGAGAACCAACTGTATGAGGTAGGGAGAATGTTACTCAAACTAAAGATATAACTAAAGAGTCCTAATTTTGTTTGACTTAAAAAGGTATTGTAATTAACTTAGAAAATTTATCAATATCAATCGCAATATAATATAGGATGTCCTTAACGGAGGTAATTTTTGGATATCACTATAACTTGCAATTCTAAACCATTTTCTCTCTGAATAGGGTATATATAACCCGATCTTCTAAACCATTTGGCTCCCTCAGCTGCACGATCAATTTTCATTGGGGACCAAAATTTCTGTTTAACTGAATTAGGTTAATATTTGATCTCCATTTCTACTGCTTTAGAATATATGAACCAAAGATAACAAAGTTTGCCATCATTTAGAATGACAAAGTTCAACATATAAAGTTCAGAAACTTGTCTCAGCAAAGGTACTCAGCCATTCAAAGTTTATAAAATTGAACGGACTGGCGGTCCAACTGGTAGAACCTTTTGACGGCAAACTTCTCCAGTCCGAGGGAAGGCCTAAACTTGAATTTACACCGAACGGGTAAATGAGGGCATTTGACAGATTGATCACTGATTTTGCCAGTTCTGTTTGACCTTGATTATTTTTTAAAAAATTTCTTGCCAAATATTTACAAGATTTTATTATTTCTTTCCATATTGTTTGTTTTGATCACACGATAACTTTTTATTACCCAATTATTGCACCAAAAAATTCTAATAAAATAAATATATCGTTATTTCCTTTTTCAAAAAATAGAAGTATAGAATTTGTCAAATTTTTTCTTTTTTATATTTTTATTCTAACAGCTTATTAAAATTTGAGTTAGATCTATTCCTTTTGTCATGATGATGTATTAAGTCTCTCTATATAATTTTGGGAACAAAATTTATTTCAAACATAACATCTTTGTGTAATAGTTCATATAAAATGGAGTAAAATATATTCCCTTTTTATGTTAATTTTTAAAATATTGGTCAAAATTTAGCAACTTTGGCTAAACAAAACAATATTTAATGAGGTTTTATTTAAAATGAGTAAAATTTTGCTTGGTTTTTCATGTTGTAGTCAATTAATGTTTGAAACACCAAACTCTTTTTTATCGGTTTTACCTAATGTATTTCTACTTTTCATCGGTTTTACCTAATGTTAATTTCAACTTTTCATCGGTTTGACCTAATGTATTTCTACTTTTTTTTTAGATTTTTTATAATTTAGTAAATTTTGTAATTTTTTATTTTGAAAAAAAAATTGATTGGTCTGACCATCGGTTTAACCGGTTTTGATTGGACGAGCTATTTCGTTGATTCAAGCACCAATCCAATCCTCAGAGCACTGGGTCTCGTTGAACAACTTGTGCTAGTCTAAATGGACTTGCGCAAGTCATATAAAAGCAAAAAAGCCCAAGAAAAAATGAAAAAAAAAAAAATGAAAAAATTAAATGAACATAAGAAAGTAAAATAAGACTAAATAAAACTAAAAATTCCAAATAAGCTTTAAAAAA